AAGATTAGTATTGACCAAGTTCAGAGGCTGTCATATGTGGATCAACTTACTATGTTGTGTATTTTCAACAGTTTCAATATCATTTTGAAGAAAAAAAAGTGTCATGGATTTATTGCATTTTGAAGAAAAAAAAGTGTCATGGATTTATTGCATTTTGGGATATATATATATGTGTGTGTGTGTGTGTGTGTACCTGAGGGTTTCACATTGTATAAATATTAGATATTGCACATTTTAAATGTAATGATAGTTTTACAAGTGTCTAATTCAGATACTTAATCTAGAAATATTTTTCTGATTCTAGAAGGATTACTGACATAAGTAGGCTAAATATAGTCTACTCCTACAACACAACACGACTTTGGTAATGATCCAAGGTGTGTTATATAATGCAGAAGGCACTTTCCCCTTTCTATGTCAACTTTTCCCTTTATGTTAAATACATTGAAAAGATTGAGGCTGTTCAACATTAAAAGGAAACAGGTAGCCAGGATTTTTTACTTTTAAAATATAAGCTTTAGGTTTTGTCACTCTTATGGATGCAACCCATATACAGTAAATCCATACATTTTATAATAAGTCTTTAGCTTTGACATAAAAAAAACTCTAGTATCAACAATAATAGAAATTATGGATTATCTGTCATCACAGATTACTGGTTATTATTCTGTGTGCAACACAAACAATAGACAGTGTAATATTCAGTGTACACCCTGGTTTTCACTCATTCTGTTGTGAGGTTAGAATTAGTTGAGTGCTAAACTGAGCTCATGTGACAGGACCCGTGTTTTTTTTTTTTTTTTTTGGAGTTGTTGATAACGAGAGAAGAGAAGAGAAGAGAAAGAGTGAAAATTTAAGGAGAGATGTTAGTTCCAAAAGCATTTACCCAAAATGGTTTACTAAAGTTTATGCTAAGATCTTTCTTGGAATCCAGTATTTGCAATGCCACAGAACCTGTGCTCTAAAATATGATGGTATAAATAGGAGAATTACAGATGCCAAAGAGAGAAGCAACATAAGGTGATGAGAAGGAGCTTTTTTTGGGATTTTATTCAAGCTTCTCGACAATAAATTAAGGACATATGAAATCAAAAGAGTTAAGACATACTAAAGAGAGAAAGGAGTGGGGAGCTTACAGAGATGGAAGTTTTATTTTACAGAAAGCAAAAAATTTCTGTACAAGTGATGGGACTATAGAACTGAGTGCTCCATCCCCAGAGAATAGTGCGATGGAGAAAAGCAGCAACAGAGGAAATGAAGGAGTTGCCGCTCAGATGGTGCCCGGAGCCAGAGATGAGATGTAAAAATTTTAACTGTACAGGGGGAGAAAAAAACGAGTTGAAACAAATGAGAGATGGTGATATTAAACAATAAAGGGCATGCGAGAGATATAAAAAGACTGTAAGTGTCACATAAATATACATATATACCAGTAAATTAACATACTTTCCAGAAGGCCAACAATTCATTAAAAATGTTTTTTTTTATTGGTCTTATGGAGTATTCTAATTTGTTGAGATAGTGAGTTGGTGGGTTTTTGTTAAATGTGAGCCAAAATCATCACAATTAAAAGAACCAAAGACTTAAACTACTTCAGTCTGTGTGCATTGAATTTATTTAATACACGAGTTTCACAATTTGAGTTGAATTACTGAAATAAATGAACTTTTCCACGACATTCTAATTTATTGAGATGCACCTGTATATATATATATATTGGGTCAATCACACAATAAGTATGTTCATGCATGTGAGAAAAGGATTACATCAGGCATTTTGAGATTAGTTTTGTTTTATTTTATTCATATATAAATAATTTAGCAAGTTGCAAAAATGTAAACATAATGTTTACATTTAAAAATGAATTTAAATAAATTAGAAAAGAAAAAAATTAGTTGAAACAAACGAGAGATGGTGAAACAACAAAGGGCATGCCAGAGATAAAAAAAAGAGTCATCATGCTTTCCAGATGAAAGACAGTGTGTGTTGTTTGTGTGTAATCTCATCTTTTATACATCACTTCATACTGAGTAAATCAACAGAAAGGTTTATGTGAGGCAGGCTTTAACTTAATACTGGGTTCCATCTAAAATCCTTCATCAAACCTGAAAATTAGATTATACTAGCAGACAGAGAAACTGAAAATGCTATTAAACCAAACACGTGTGCACACTCTCATACACGAACACGAGTAACAGGTGGTGATAGTTACATGGAGGTCATGTCGTTGAGAGCGTGGTCCAGCTCCTCGCTGATGGCTTTGAACTTGAGTTTCTGAGCATACAATTCATCTAAAGTAGCCAATTAAAGGCCAGAACGGCAGAGGGGTGTTGAGTGGGGAGGAATGGAAAAGAATGGAGAAACAAAAAGTAAGGAAGAAGAAGCAATGCAAAGGCGGACCGAACAACGACAAGTGGCCAGAGAGAGACCGATAAAAGAAAAAACCAAGAAAACAGTAATTAAACAGAAATGAAACGAAGTGAAATTACCTTCCTTAATCATGAGAAAAATACAATCTTTCAAATACTTAAATAGTACATTCTAGTGGTGGCGATATGTACCGCTGCTAATTTAAAGGCATATCTTTTAAATCTCTATGTAAACTGTTAATTGTAACAGATAAACGCAAAAAGAACTTAAACCTGATATTCCAAGGATGTAACTAAGGATTTAACCCGTGTCTAATAGCAACAGTAAGGTACAAGTTGACATACCCTCCAGATCATCAATGGTCTTCTCAAGCTTGGCGACTGATCGCTCAGCGAACTCGGCACGAGTCTCAGCCTAGAACACAGAGAGACGTCAGGCCCTCTTATATGTATGCACACACACACACACACACACACACACACACAAAATGGTAGCTGAATGAACTCACCTCCTTCAGCTTGTCAGTCAAGACCTTGATCTCGTCCTCATATTTGTCCTCCTTAGCAGAGTACTGTAGATGGGAAAGGCAGAAGAGAGGATTAACATAAACACCAACACACAAAACAAAATATACACAGATGATCATTCACACATACACATACACACAAACATTTACACACTTACCTTCTCAGCCTGGGCTTCCAGAGACTTCATGTTGTTGGTCACAGTTTTCAACTCCTCCTCCAGCTCAGAGCACTTACTATAAGTGGGAGTCACAGAAAATTTGACACAAAAATTACACACAGAAGCTAAGATAAGCAAATGTGTTTTTAAAAGTATTACATTTGTTTGTTTTTACCTCTCATTGAGCTCAGCACGCTCCTCAGTACGCTCCAGCTCACCCTCAACAATCACCAGCTTACGGGCCACCTGTGTACCATCACAAAGAAAACATTATAAGTGTACCTGTGTTTAGCTGTCCAAGGGGAAGACATTGTTTATGGGGAAATTACTCATTCATAATTGTATTGTATTTATCTATAATACATTATAAGAGTACGAAAGAGAGAGAAAACCGACCTCCTCATACTTGCGGTCGGCCTCCTCAGCAATGTGCTTGGCCTCCTTCAACTGGATCTCCTGCAGCTCCATCTTCTCCTCATCCTTCAGGGCCCTGTTCTCAATGACCTTCATGCCTCTGAGAGAGAGAGAGAGAGAGAGGGAAAGAGTTTGGATGTTATTATAACTCCCTAAAAATCATGAGACCTATTGCATATGTTTAAGAAACTATTAACTTAATTAGATTAAGAGCATAAAAAGTAGCTAGTTTTGAAACTTCAAACGTCTATAACATCCCTTAAACTTGGGATTTTGGTCTATCCTCTGTCAGATGTTTTGGAACTCTGCTATATCTAACAATTAAAATCATAAGATATATTAGATATAGTAAAATCTAATGAACTGATATTCAGTTAACTGTAATAAAAACAATAATATACAGTTAAGTAATTTTATAATACCTGTTTTGTTTTGTTTTGTTTTTTTGCTAGAAAATTACATATTGTGGTTTTAAATTGTAATTTAGACATGTTTCAATTAATACATGGAAAATAAAACAAAATTCTTTTTTAAGAGTCTCGGGGTCTGTTTTGTGCCCTCTGAGTTTTCCTAC